TGGGTGGGTAGATAGATGATAGATAGATAGACAGACAGATAGATAGATGATAGATAGATAGACATGGTGTTACTGACAGATATTACCCAAAGCCAACCTGTATGTCTTATCTCCCAGCAGACACCTCAACTGCCAGTCTTTGAAGTGCTGGAGGATGCCTTCAAGGCACCCCTGGATCTAACTCACTCAGCAGATATTATGGAGGGCCTATGCGAATAAGATGTCATGCTACAGACAAAGGGGTGTTAGAAATAACTAACACTGACACCTTCCCAGGAGGAATTATGGCCGAAAGCGAATGTGCTGACGAAGCACGGAGGAGACAGGGATGATGTGACAGACGGATGCTGCAGAGACCAGTCCTGCCTCAGGAGAGGTGAAATGACTCCTGGCTTCTTAATAAGCACGGCCCACGTGCTAGCGTATAAATGCTTGTATCCTCCCACCTCCACACCCGAGGAAACCTCAACATTCTAGGTGATTTGAGGAAGTGAGCCTATAAGATGAGATTAGGGCATAGGGGACTGACCCCTCATGGATTTCGGGAGCCCCAGAAGGACCCTGCATATGAACACGATGTCAAGACCCAGAAGGCAATGCCAACAGGAAGGGGGCCTCAGTATCCCTCTATCTGCCAGCACTTTGATCTTGGACCACCAAGACCTCCAACTGGACAAACTATGAGCAAGCTAGTTACACCTTTCGTGAGAGCAGTCCATGAGAGCACAGGAGAATCTGAGAGTCAAACCCAAACCTGGCTCCCGTCACCAGCAGGCTGGTAGCCTCCGCAAGTGTGGTTCTTTCTGTGGGTTCCTTCGGGGTTCAGGCATGAGTTCACCGCTGTGTTTCAGGACTCCCATTGTTTGTGAATTTATTTAAACCATCTTTGAAAGATTCTGTCTCAGACCTCTGAGCACACCACAGTCCAACTGGTGCCCAAAGCTGTCCCTTCCAGCACACTAGGCTTTTGGGCAGAAGTTCCCGCAGGACTCTGTTTATGGATTCTGAGTGTTTGTATTTCCACCTTTTAAACTGCTGCTTCGTTACCTGAGACATGAGGCCATGAGGATGGTCACCTGTCCAGCACGTTGCTCACTATTTCCTTCATGACCATGGTTAAGTCCTTGACTTGTTCCACCTCCTGCGCCTGTCCAAAAGGAAAGGCTTACAGTCTTGAGCTAAGGAAGGGGAGGAGGAGATCATTGGCAAGGGGCTGCCTCTTGAAAAAAAGTTATTTTCTACAGAAACACCTGTTCAAGCAACCTCTCGGAGAAGCAACCGCCGGCGCCGCCGTGGTCTGCACACAGCGGGCTCCTGGGTGAAAGGAAACTCAGCTTGGCGATGTCAGCAGACAGCACTGGAACATAAACGTAAGGGACACGCGCCTTCTAGTGACCAGAACTGGAACTGCTCCCGGCTACACCCACACCCCTAGTCAGAGATGTGATGACTCCCGTTCTTAAAGGATCCTTGTGCCACAGTGACCTGATGGCACTTGCAGGCAGCCTACACTCACTAAATCATCTCCAGAAGGTTTGTCTCTGGGATTTTCTTCCTTTGAGACAGGGTTTGTCTCTGCAGACAGTCCGGCCTGAAATGTACTATGTAATCCAGGCTATCCTCAGAATCCCTGGGATATATTCCCTGCCTCGGCCTCCCAAGTGCCGGGATAAGGCACGAGGTAGCACAGCCAGCCACCCCTGAGACTTGCAGAAATTTTCCCAGAGCTGTTTTACAGCTTTTAGATCTGGCATGTTGGCTAACAGTCTTGTGCAGATATGAAGTGCAGACCGTATAAAACCAGCGCTAAGCAAGGCTCCTTTTGGACTAAATTGCTATTATTTTTCTCTCCTGTGAAAGGCCTAGATCTGTAACCACTCAAAAATACTTGTCACACAGAAGTACATTGTTTTTTACACACTTCCATTGTGTCAATGATCCAGATAACTATGACCGACTCCCTGTTAGAATGGAGGGATGTGCTGAAAACAAAAATCAACGTTTTACTTCTATAAGCAAGCCATGATAATATTCAAGACATTCCAACATGGGGAACACAAAAAGCTGTTCTAGACTTACTGTGGTCTACAATTCTATTCATTTTCAGTACTCTTGCATCTGCTTACGTTGCTGATAGAATCCAACACGGCAAAGTCAACCCAGAATACTCTACGGAAAGCTCATACTGTGACTGTGTTACACTCACGCCTTACAGATGATGGAAGTCTATGGGAATAACTTGTCCTGGCAGAATAGCCCCGCCCCCTTCCGATGGCTGAGCTGAAGGACTTGAAGGTGGGAGATGAAGGGACAGAGTGCGTGCGACTCAGGCAGGACTGTCAACAGTGGACTTTCCACCATTTTGTTTTTCTGGCTTTAAGATGAACTTTTTTCACAGGAAAAACAAAAAAACAAAAAGGGTTTTGGGGAAATAAAAAAACAAATTCTAGGTTGTGATTCAGTGTTCCATTTCTTTATTTTACCTTCATCAAGGCAAGCCAAGTACAGATGCTGTACATTAAAAACATAAATACTCCTCTCACACCACATCCATCTCCACACGAAGGATTTGTTCTACACGCTGCTCTCTGAAGCACATAATCACAGTTAAATGTACAAAGAGCCATCCGCCGGTCCTACATAGCCAACTCCAATCAGCAAGACGTCGATTAGCGTCCATATTCCCAGGCCACCGAAGCTGAAGAGCTTGCCGAGGCCTTCTCGCCACTGGCCCAGGTAGAAGCGATCTGCTCCAAATCCCCCAAGGGTGATGCTGCAAAAGAAACACAGAATGGCCCCGACTCCGTAAGTGCAGCCGGGTAGTTACCACCACAGTAGGAAAGGGCTCTGAGAGGATCTAAGCCCCACAACTACACATTTACACCACCAACTCATCATGGCCAAGAAGACTGCCAATGACAAACAGAATTCAGCATGTGCGACACCCTGGGTTCGATTCTTGGTAGCAGGGGAAATCAGGAAACACACAATTTTGAACTCTGCTGAAATCACTGCTTTCTCGCAGCAGGGACCCAGCCTGCAGAGTGCTGGTGTGGAGTCAGGAACTGACTCCGGAGGCACTGACTCCTGACAGACCCAGATCAAGTCACCTCATCTTAGTTACTTCCCTCTCAAGATTTAGCACCGAGTCTTAGAGTCCCTTTAAATTCTAAGATCTAACAAGGTTGGGATGTGACGGAAAAGCCCAAAGCATACGTAACAGTGCAAAGGAGAGGAGCCGTGGTCCAGCTCTGACAGGTACCCACCCACAGCCAAGTCTGCTGGTGTCCTAACCCTCCCCCAGTGCAGAGCAGTCTGTATCCGCAGGAAGGTTCTGCATCTCAGCCAACTGAACCAAAATACTCGAGAGAAAAAGCCCCGCGTCTATATTGAAGAACAACCTTTCCCTGTCATTGTCCCCTAAACAACAAATGAGCAGCGTTCACACTGGACAGCGTAAGCCGTCTCCATGGAAGGGGACGAGATGGGATGTACATGGGTCCGTGCAAGCACTACACTATTTGGTAAAAGGGACTTGAGCGCCAGGATTTTGAGATCAGGGGGCTGCGGAACCAACAGCATTTTGGAGCAAACCCGCAGACGTGTTCTCTTGAGAGTGAACGTTCTGAACAACCTATGTTGAGCTGTGACAAAAAGCTTCCATGATTTCAGTCACTGTTCATTGTAAAATGTTGACGATGTAAGGGATCCCAGGTGACGGGTGTCACGGGAACTCTCGATCGTGTTTGCATTTTTTCCATCAGACTAGATTATTTTACATTAAGATGAGATCTGGTCTGTTGTTTCACGGGGCCTGGTGGCTCACACCTGTAACCCAGCACTTGGAGGCTGAGGCAGGAGCGTTGTGAGCTCCAGGCCAGCCAGGACTACACAGCAAGAAGCTATCTCAAAAAGCAAAGTGAACGAACAGAGCATCCTGAAAGCCATGCGTTTTAATCTCAGTCACTGCAGACAAAGCCCACGGACAGCCAGTTCCTGGACCGTATCTGTGCTCTGAGTTTTACCGTGTATTCCTCGGTTAGCTTTCAATTACCTTTTTCCCTGACAGGTCCTCCTCTGTCCTCAGCCTAGATCCTAACACAGAGGCACTGTCGTCACCAAGGGACTTCTGGCGACGCCCAGGGAGAGTCTGATCACCAAAACTGGGTGTCCTGACAACTGCCAGCAGGCATTCCAGCAGGTACAGGGCAGCCCCAGACAAAGAATCAGCAGTGGACAGATAAGGAGCACTGCCCAGTGTCACACTGCAGGCCTCAGGGTCTCGGGCCTGATCCAAGACTTCAGATGTGAAGGGCCCAACTTCCCATCAGTCATTTCTCTGACGTCCCTCCCGGTTTCTCCTTTCATGGGAAGAGCTGGTCCACTCTCTTCCACACTGTGAACAATTTAGTAACACACGAGTGTGTTTTCTCTCCTTTTTGAGTGTAGTACATGGTGTGTGTGTGTGTGCGCGCGCAGAGCAGAGGCCAGAGGCTCACTTCAGCGGCCTCGCTCTATTGGTAATTACTGTATCACTTGACTGCACCCGAGGCTCACACCAGCCCCCGGGAAGCACCGGGACCCAGAACTGGCTGCTGCAGTGGGTGCTGGGAATCTGAACTCAGGGTCTCAGGCTCATGCAGCAAGCATGCCACATACTGAACCGTCCATCTCCCGCCCAATACGCACTCACTTATAGGCAAGAGTTGTAGGTGTACAACTGTCTAGACAGTAGAATTATAGGTAATGTAAAACTTTTTTTGGGGCCAGCAAGATGGCTCAGTGGCTTCAGGTGCTTGATTCAAAAGTCTGGTGACCCCGGGCTCATCCCCAGAACCCAAGAAAAAAGGGAAGGAGAGAAACGATTCCACAGGATTGTTCTCTGGCCTCCACATGTATGCTGTGCAAACACTCATACACACTCATACACACACACACACACACACACACACACACACACACACACACACAGCAAAACCAAAATGTTTAAATTATTTTCTTTTTTTCCTAGTTTTCAGTTCGAGCACATTCTACTCTACAGTAAATTACTTACAATATACATTACAGACCTGTTTCAAACAGTCTACACTAAGTATTTAGTGGTTCAGGTGGGTTCAGGCTGTGAAACCCTGGCTGTCTCTAACAACGTGACAAAGTGTCACAGGAGTTCCAGCATGTCACATCTGGGGGTGAAGGGAAGCTAACGCTGCCCTCCACAGAGTGTCCCACCACTGTCTCTTACCATCTACCTACCCTACGTGGGAGGCTCGGGTGAAGACGAGCCCGGCTGAGTATAACGTCTGGAAGATCCCATGGACCCCAAAGAAATCCCAGGAGCATTTCAACTCAGCAGGACCAAAGCGTACCTCAGAGCCAGAGCAGTTGACCACTTATAGCCTCCGGTCCAGTTGCAGTAGAGCAGTTTTGGGAAAGTGCGGTTACCTTAGAGAAAAAAAAATTATACTGAAACACGGGCACATAAAATACTACTCTCACAGGACTTACGTATGAACAATGGTCTTGTAATTTAGAATTTGAAAGCAGTTGAAGTCTCCTTACAAAAACATTTACTACGTCGAACAGCATAAAACAAAATCCTCGTCATTTACTGAACAGATGCGGTGCCTACATAAGTTAACTTAGGGCTAACCATGTGGAGAGAGATATAAAACCGAATCTACCTTATACCATCTACCAAATGAATTCCAGAAGGATTAGAGACCTAAATATGAAAAGCCAAACTTGGGTTTTAAAAGAAAATGCCTTTTATCTCTATGTACCCAGAGTAGGAAACCAATAAAAACACAAGGTAAAGGGCTGATTCTGAAAGTAACTTAAACTTCTGACCCTAAGTGCATTTTCGACGTTCTGTCTGTGAGGGCTGGAGAGATGGCTCCAGGGATAGAGTGTGCATGTGACGTGCACACAGCATGAGAACCAGAGTTCGCATCTCCAGGTCTCATCAAAAAGCGGGGCAGGCATGCTATCTTAGCACTGAGGAGGCAGGGAGAGGAGAGCCCCACCCGCCAAGCTGATGAGCCAGAGCTGGAACTGGATTCTCCTCAACAGAGTGGAGAGTAATCAAGGCAGGCACCAACACCAGTCCCAGGCCTCCACCCCAACACACAATGTTCTGTTTATCAAAGACCTTCCAAAGAAAATGGAGTTCAGAGCCTGGAAAAGGACCTGGGCTACAGAAGGTTTCTCCGAGCAGTGTAAATACACCCCAGCCGCTGTCGGTAGAAGACAGCAGTACTGGAAAAGAGCAGTGCGGACTATCCACTGCTGGGAACGTTAACGGCGGCAGCCGTTCTGGAAGACCAAGTTACGGGGAGACGGACACTCCTGAAAGGAGGCAGGGACTAGGTCCAGAAGATGAGTCACCTCTGTGAAGACAGAGCAAGAGGATGAATGCGAGCCACGCCCTCAGGTGGATAAACATGCCATCAGTACTGTGCGCTGGCTAATCCCGTGAGCTTCAATTTGTTTCAGCCTGAGATAGTTGGTTCACAGTTCCCTCGAACTCTGCTCCTTACCCAAGCAATGAATGTGGTCTCGCACTGTGCAGTTGGCGAAATAGCGCTGCCGAGGACAGGCCACTGTCATGCAGCTGGTGGAGTTGGTACACTCATAGTCTGTTTCGGGAAGCTGCCAGCAAAACCTGCAAGTCATGTTGATGATGAAGTTCCTCTGGGGTTTGAGGTCTTGATCCTAAGGACGAAAGCACAAAGTGAATCGGTTATAATAGGGCAGCTTGCTACAACATCAATAGACCACAGTCACATGACACCACATCTCTAAAACATTTATATTTAGGACCTAGCAGTAAGTAAAGGAAGCAGGTTCATAAGTAGCATCAAGAGGAAAAAACATCTATATAGTCTACCTAAAGAAAAACGGCTTTGGACTAGGTGTGGTGGTGCATGTTTTTAACCCCAGCCCTTGGGAGGCAGAGACAGGTGGATCTCTGTGAGTTCAAGGCCAGCCTGGTCTACACAGTGAATTCCTGAACAGTCAGAGTTGCATAATGAGACCCCTTCTTGAAAACACAAAACAAAAACAAAAAAAGAAAGGACGGACAAGGGTAAAGGGTCATGGCAGCGTACGCCTTGACACCCAACACCGCAGAGGCAGAGGCAGGCAGCTCTCTGAGCTTAAGGCCAGCTGGGCCTATGCAGTGAGTTCTAGGACAGCTAAGGCTACACAGAGAAAAGAACCGGAAAGAGTTATTTCAGAGTGGCAGTTCATCACTTTCGTTAACGTTTAAATAATGCACATTCCTAGTTTTATAATACATAAGGAGGCTGGAGAAACGGCTCGGGTTGAGGACACTGGCTGCAGACAGGGTCCCAGGGTGCAGAGTGGGTGTGGACACCGGCTCCCACCCCAACCAAGGAACTATCTGCAACTGACACCCATTTCCAAGCGAAAAATTACTCCTCCCCATCCGTCTCTTTGGTATACTGACTATGCTTCAAGGGAGGTTCCACGTCCAGGAGTAGATGATGGCCAACACAAAACCACAAAACGAACTCAATGGAGATTTTGTAGACCTTTTGTCTCAAATAGCTTTGTTTGGACATTTTTTGTCTTACTGGTCTTTTGCTTGTATAATAATCTGTTCCAATTTTGTGTGTGTGCATTTTATTTGAGAGAGAGAGAGAGAGAGAGAGACAGAGACAGAGAGAGAGAGAGAGAGAGAGAGAATACGCACGCACATGTGTTTCTTGGGTTTCTGCTTATTTTTAAAGAGAGAAAAAAAGAGTGTGGAGTTGGGTGGGGTCAGAGGTGGGAAGGATCTGGGAACAGGGGAAAAGCATGATCAGAATATATCATTAAGAAAAATTTTTTTTCCATTAAAAAAGGATTCCCCCCCCCCCCAAAAAAAAATGCAAAAGAACACTGGCTGTTTTTCTGGAGAACCCAGTTTTCATTCCCAGCACCCACATGGTGGCTCACAACCATCTCTAATTCCAGTTCTAGAGGATCTGATGTCCTCTTCTGGCCTCCAAGGGCACCAGAGTCATGTGGCTGCACAGATATGCATGCAGGTAAAACACCCATTCACTGAAAAAAATGAAGAAGGACAGAGGAGGAAGAGAAAGAAAGCGGTGTGTGTTTGTGAGAGAGAGAGGGAGAGAGGGAGAGGGAAAGAGAGAGAGAGAGAGAGAGAGAGAGAGAGAGAGAGAGAGAGAGAGAGAGAGAGAGAGAGCGCACGCGCTCTATGTCACCTCAGCATGTCAGGGCTCAGGAAAAACACAACATGGAGAGCCTGAGTTACTGCCATCATGTGGCTCTCAGCTGGACTGCACTCTAGCTGACGTGTCAAGGGCTCATGGAGTAAGTAACACCCCAAAAGACTGAGTCAGGAAAGAGCAGATGCAGCTCAGAACTGAGGTGAGGCCCTGCATGTGCTTTCTTTACATAAGGACCAGCCTGGGGCCAGAGCTCAGTGTCTCTCAACAAAGACCATCACCTGACCTTTCCATCTACCTGGCAGGTTCACTCCCTTACTTCCCAGAGAGCTGCCAGGTATCCCATGCCTCTCCTCAACCCATCTTTACACCACTAGGAATGAGACAGGACAGAGAGAAGAAGGACCTATGGGAACATGGGGGAGGGAACAAAGCCCCTTGCTCTGGGATCTGGTTTGTTTCCTGCAGGCTGACAGCTCTTAAAACCCAAACTGTCCACAGAGGCAGTGTCCTTTCCTTACTCGAGGCCGTGACTGGACCTCCATCAGGACTCCTAGGACTCCTCTCCATCCAGCTCTAAGTAGCACACTCCACGGAACCACTGCACAAGTTCATTTCAAAGGCCAGGCTGTAGGAGAACTAAGTAAACCAGCTCATACTTTGCATTTAAATTTTAACCAGGGAGTCTTCAAATCTTGTTGTAAATGACAGCCTTTAATCATGGAACTTAGAAAGTTACACAGCCACTGTGAAGACACCTAAGAGCAACACTGTCTTAAGTACACAGTGTCCTTTTCTTGACTCTCTCTCAACACCCATTCTGAAGTCTACATGCACATCACATATCCCTACTTTAATAAACACTGCTTCACTCTGGCTTGGCCTAGAACCTTCTCTGTGGTCTAGTCATGGATATGGCTTTATCTAAGTGGGAGGTCCCTAGCAGGGCACTGGCCACAGTGCTATGCTGCTTCCCCACCGACAAGACTGATCCCTTTGTAAGCTCACCTGTGGTAAACAGACATTACCATCCCTCTGAGGCCCAGTTCTCACTAAGAACACAGAAGCTCATGAGGGACTTAGGTTAGTAAACTGACACCTTCCATCCCCACAGAGCAACACTGGTGCCCAACAGCCTGTCTTAACATTAGAACTCGCACCACAGGGCTAACTGGTGTGGAAGGAAGGGGAAGACTATTTATAGTCCTGTTTATCTCAATGTGTGTGGTATGTGTGTTCTCATGTGTGGTATGTGTGTTCTCGTGTGTGCATTTGTATACCTGCGTGTGGGGGACAGAGGCTGACATCCAACATCTTCCCTGATAATTTTCTACGGAACCTGGAGTTCCAAATTCAGGTCCTTAGGTTTGCGCAGCACTTGCTTTACTGACTAAGTTGTAGATTCAGCTAGAAGGGCTAGCCAGCCAGCCTTTAAGGTCCTCTTGTATCTGCCTCTCCAGCGCTGGGATTACAGGCCACACAGCCATGTCTAGAGTTACACGGTGCTAGGGATCCCAACTCCAGCCTTTGTCCTTGCATAGCAAGCACCTTACCAAGTAAGATATTTTCTCAGCCCAGGACTTTCACTTTTGGAAAAAATAAAATGGCAATGGGTCAGGGGTTGTTGAGGGCAGGGCCTCATGCATGCTAGCATGTGTTCTACCAGTGAGATATACTCCTAAAACCAAGTGCAACATTTAAATAATACTCTGTAGTGCAGTCATAACAGACCATAATCAAATCATTTCCGGATATAGCCTGGCACACGTCTGACCAGTGTACGCTACATTTTTAACACTACACTCCATGCAGTTGGAATAAGTAAACTGCAATACTTACAACGCAGGTAACAGAAGGTTTCACTGTACAGTCAAAAGTGACAGGCTTCCCATAAGTACAGGAGAAATTGGTCGCACAGTCTATACAGTCTGCAGGAAGGCGGCTACACAAACCATTGCTTGGACACTTCATCATGTAAGGGGGGATTTCAGTACTTTCTATGAAGAGTGAGCAGAAGAACAGTGGAAGACAGAGGAGAGACCAATCATTAGCAATGAAAGACAATTTTCTAAGGTGGAGAGAGCAACCATTAGCAATGACGCATGTACTGGAATGTAAACAGCATTGGGACCCTGGGACACCTGGGATCTAACAGGGTTCTGTCACCAGCTAGCTATGACCTGGTAACCTGTGTGACATTAGGAAAAAGCATTTCATCCCTGTCTCCCAAGTGGTTGTGAAAACTCAAAGTGCTCATTGACAGATAATTCAGGGAAAGTGCTGGGTCCAAGTTCAAGACTCAACAGCTACAGGCACAGATGAAAACTAAAGCTTGGACAAGGCAGAGTCTGCAAAATCCCAGAGGGAGTATTTGACAGAACTGGAACCAGATCACACATCTCTTCAAATCCAATCCAACGTCCGAATTTACTGGTAGAAAAATGAAGTCACTGGCACCCAATTCTAGAAAATACTTTTATTAGCATGTATGCCCAAATAAAAATCGTGAACAGCAGGGCGGTGGTGGCG